GATAAAGTAACATTACATATGGTCAAATAATCTGATCAAACAATATCTCTTTCCTCACAACATGAAAATTTGACCAAATTTAACATTAATTTTGTAGTATTCCTTAGACTGGAGATCAAAATGCAAATAAAAACTTTCAATTTTTTAGCCATAATAAAAATTAATGTTGGTTATATCTCAGAATGCCACTTCATCTTTGTTTTTCTTTGTTTTTGTTTAAGTAACAACCAGACCCAGTTTTGCCTCTCAATTGGCCCGATGATTTCACACTTCATGGCAATAGTGCTTTCAATGCTACGAATCCATTCTGGAATGAACTGTCCGCATCTAACCCATTTTTGGATGACATAATTCAGCTAAGAAATAACCAGAAGAGAGATAATATTTCCATCTTGAAGGAAGATCCTTTTCTTTTTTTTAGAGAAGTAGAAACTGGAAATTCTTTTGGTTCTTCTGGTGATGAACTTGATGTGCATCAGTTGCTTAGGCAGTCTTCCTCAAGGAAATCTGAAAGATCTAAAAGTGTTTCAGAACTTTTGGACATTTTAGATGACACAGCACATGCCCATCAGAATATACATAACTCTGACCAGATCTTAGAACAAGACTTAGAATGGCTTCAAAATGATCCAGAGGCTTATAAAATGGCTTGGTTAAGTCAACACCACCTGGCCTGCTCCTGCCTAGATTTGAATACAATTAATCAGAGTCCTGGATGGGCCCAAACACAAGTTGCAGAGACCACAATAGTTTGCAAATTAAACTACCAGGGAGGGTCAGTACAATTACCTGAATCAGATATCACTGTTCATGTGCCCCAAGGCCATGTAGCTGTGGGAGAATACCAACGGGTATCTCGAAGGGCTTTTCTACATCCTCCACAGATGCTAAACTATGATCTTTCATGCACTGTAAGCCCACTGTTGGGAATCATGTTAGGTAACCTTAACACAATGGAAGCCATTTTGCTAGAGATGAAAATTGGAGCTGAAGTGAAAGAGGATCCTTTCAGCCATGTCATGACAGAAGTGGTGTGTTTTCACAGCCTGGGTAAAGAAGGCCCTTTTAAAGTATTAAACAATTGCTACATTTATAAAGACACCATCCAAGTCAAGCTAGTAGACTTGAGTCAGGCAATGTATCTAGTGGTTGCTGCACAAACTAAAGGTACTCAGTCACCAGCTGCCACCATTTAGGATTATATCCACAAAACCACCTCGGTTGGAACTTATGGGCATAAATATACCCATCCCAGTTTCACTGCTATTTTCACAGTTTGTGGACATAGTTATATGCCAGGAAGGCTTACAATCTCTGATATTAAGAAGGGTGAGGTGCTTCCCTGGTGGCGCAGTGGTTGAGAGTCCGCCTGCCGATGCAGGGGACACGGGTTCGTGCCCTGGTCCGGGAAGATCCCACATGCTGCAGAGCGGCTGGGTCCGTGAGCCATGGCCGCTGAGCCGCAAAAAAAAAAAAAAAAAGAAGGGTGGGTAACACAGCATATCTCCAGTTGTGTTTCAGCTCTGGGGGAAGCATTCCTTCTTACTTGAAAAGCCACAAGATTTAAGTATTCTGTCTTTTCATGTGATCCTGATTTTGAAGTAAAGGTAGAAGGAAAAGGGAAAGAAATTAAACAAAAGCAGTTGCAATCAGGTCAAGTAGTTCATCAACAATTATTATTCTCTTTAGTTGACTCCAGAGAAATGCACTTGTTTGTTTTCTGTGTTCAAGTGGAGCCTCCCAATGGTAGGCCAGTTACACAGTTCTTTATTACTGCACCTGATCCAGCCCCAAACCTAAAAAGCCTCTCAAATCTGCCAGGTGATTTGCAGAAGGAGAAGGAAATCAAGTCTGCTCCTTTATTACCAACAGTGCATGTTAAATATCCTACATTTCAAAACAAAAATTTGAACTTTGCCAACTATGGGGTAACCCTGAAGACAGTGCTAAGACAAAGCAAGATTGACTACTTACTTGAATATTTCAAAGGGGACACAGTAGCTCTTCTTGGAGAAGGTAAAGTAAAAGCCATTGGACGGTCCAAAGTGAAAGAATGGTATGTGGGAGTCCTGAGAGGTAGGATTGGACTTTTACATTGCAAAAATGTCAAGGTGATTGAAAAGGAACAAGTAATGTCTATGTCAGATAATGTCTTCAAAACCAGGAATCTTCTTGAACAAATTACCCTGCCTGTTAAAAAAATGACTTACATCTACTCAGTTGTATTGACCTTGGTGTCAGAAAAAGTTTACGATTGGAAAGTTTTAGCTGATGTCCTAGGTTACTCACATCTGGCACTGGAAGATTTTGATTGAATACAAGCAGACAAAGAATCAGAAAAAGTTTCTTATGTTGTAAAGAAGTTAAAGGAAGATTTTCATACAGATAGAAATACCAGGAAGTTTCTTTATGAACTTACTGTGGTGAGTATTGCTTGATCACAGTAATTTATTTACCATAGAGAACTTTATTGGCAATATTTATAAGTAAACATATGAGAGTAGTTAAAAAATTCTCAGCAGTCTCAAGTAAATTGAAGTCACTTTACAGCAAATATAGAGCTTTGCCTACAAGATGATATAACTGGTTTCTTAGATTTGACATTCAATTGTGATTTTCCCAGAAACTAGGCCCCCAAGGATCATCCTTTAATGGAAGATTAAAGATTCTGTTTGTGCTAGAGCATAACAGTTAAGATATCCCTTCTTTTCCTTTTTCAAATATTTAGATAGCTCTTAAAATATCAGAGAAGCTCCAATTACATGAAAGTAAATAAGAACGAACTGAAACAAAGCTAGTTAACTTGGCCATTGGCATAGGTTCACTTTTTAGTGTTTTTTAGACATATCACCAATGTCTTTAACTTTAGCAATTTAATATTCATCCTTTGTATGCAATGCATCACAATCCAAAAATGATATTGCTAATTCCCTTCTTAATCTTCATGTTTTAATAGAACTCTTAGGATTCTTTTTTTTTCAACATAGCATTCACCCCAGTGTAAGGCTCAGCAGAGATCTATAAAAAAGATGAAGAACTATTTTGCCTTAAATGTAGAAATTCAGTATTTTATAAAAGTAAAAAAAAAAAAATCAAGAGCATTATTTTTAAAAATGGCTAAAATGTGACTGTATAAATAATAATAATGATATATACCGCTTCTCTAGGGTTCTGTATGTGTTTGGCACTGTCCCCAACATTCTATACATGCTCTCTCATTTAGTCATTTTAACCACTCTACAGGGTAAGTCTAGTTAGTATCTTCATCTTCAAATAGAGGAAACTGAGTCTTGGGCGGTTGGGCAACTTGCCCAAGTTCTGACAGTTGGTTAGTGTCAGAGATGGGATTTGAAACCTTTTTGGTTCCAAAGCCACACGTAAAACCACTATGTCTTCCTGAAACAAAGGTATTAACAATGCATGCGTGTGTGTAAAAATATTTGAGTACGTATGTTGGTGTGTAGTAAATATCACTATAACTGTGCAAAGCTGGTGCTCTGTAAGAGATGTAGATCTTCACATAGATGAGGCAGGTTCATGTAGAGGAGCAAAGTTTTAACCAAAGTGCAAAAGGAGGAGAGAAATTTTTGGAGAGAAATTTATTCTGTGATGTTAACAATAATAAAGAACATAAAACAATCCCTCTCCTTCTGTTATTTTTATGTTTCTACAGTGATACTGTGAGGGGTGAATTTTTAAAGTCCAATATCTGATTGTTAAATAGGTGGTTTTATGATGGTGTGCTGCATTCGCACTTAACCCAGGCCGTTTACAGTCATTGGCTGATCTACCTGGTTGAAGCTGCACATGCATTTTACAATAGCTCATTACCTCTCATAGCTCATGTTCAGCATGGAGCCATGAAAGCCTGAATTGAAAATTGCTTTCTTGTTTCTCTTAGTGGTAAAAAAGGTTATATTGGCCAAATGATCTGAAATTTTAAGTCTGGTTACACCTGCTCTGTGTTGGTGTGTGATAACTGAGTAGCTTTGGTGACTAACTAGACAGTGCTGGTGGAGAGCTCATTCAAGGGAGTAGTTCCTAAAATTTTATATTTTGCCTCAGTGGAGGCTTCAGAATTTCTGAATGGAAAGAGATAAGGCCTGGCTATCTGACCAGAAGACAATGAAGCATATTGTATAGAGGCTACCCCTTGAAACTTCATTTGCATAGTAAGTGTACTTACTTGGTAATTCATTTTTACTTATTGTTTCATAATGATAAAGCTTTTAAGTGCCATTAAATGATGAAGGGCTACCAAACATCTTTATCTGAACAGAAAAGAGATAGATAAATCTAATCCCGTATTTTAAAAATATATTCAAGGCAAAAGAGAAAGTCATAGACTTGTTTTAAAACATGCATGGTGACTGACACATCTCAGATGCTTAATTAAGGAAGAAAGAGTCTGAAGGTTTTCCAGTATGCATTGTTGAAACCTCAGTGTTTTATATTTGATACCTTGAGATTTAAATTTAGCAAAACTACACTGGTGGTGAATGGAGAGAGTAAATTTTTTTAAAGTCATAAATATCAATAGCTTTGTTCAAGGTTGTCGGAGTGTTTCATTTTTTATGCAATGCACATGATTCTGGGAAGTCTTAAATCACATTTTGATTAAAAAAATAGAATAATGTACCAGCAACTGTGTGCTCCCTCTATAGAAATCCTGTAGCCAGTCCTCTGGTAAGGAAAGTAATTACTGTTCATATCGTAAATAATCGTCCCTGGGTTGATAAATTATTGACTGCTAGAACCTCAGGGTATCTTTGGAAGGGGCTAAATCAACTTCTTCCTTTTGTAATTAAGGATATTAAGAAATATATTAGTTCAGTGGTTTACTCAAGCCCCTATAATTAGTTAATGAGTTAGTCCTAAATCTCCCCTAATTCTGGTCTAGTTGTGGTCTCTGTACTTTGCTTGTTGGATTTGCTTAAAAAGTAAATCAGCTCTTTGAATTTTAGAAAATTCAAATATATGTGTGGTGAGAAAAAGGATGCCAGTTTCCAGAATATGTAATGACAAATTTAATTTATAGAAAAAAGCTCAAATTAGTTGCTTTTAATTATGACATGCAATTGTTGCTGCAGGCTCTGCTGAAGACTGATTGCCAGGGGTTAGTAGCACATCTCGTCCAAGAGGCTGCTAGTCTGACTTCAGCTGTCAAGCTTGGAAAAGGCTGGAGGAAACTAGCTGAAAAGTTAGTACGACTCACAAAGCGACAAATGGAGGCATATGAAATTCCTCACCAAGGAAAAGCTGGAGATGTTGCTGTAGAGGTAAGATTTCTATTTGTCTAAATAGTGAAAAACTGCAGACCAGGTAAATCAAATGCAATCAAGAGTGCCCTGCATACGTGGATTGATTGAGTGTCCTAGAGGATCCACTAACTGAAGTCACTGCCCCTATAACCATTGATATTATCTGAAATATACACACATCACTCTTTAAAGGTATTAAGAACCTTTAAAATATACTGATGCTTCTCCTATTGGATTGCGTATCTCCATGGCCTTTTATCAAATAAATTGACCAAATTAAATAGGCAGTTAGTATGTAGGGCTATAATAACTTGAGGCAGAGAACAGATAAACTTTGAAGGGAAGAGTTGGGGCCCAGTCATGACAAGGAAAAAGGACATAATAATTAATATTTATCAGCCTCAGGCACAGACTTAGTCATTGGTGGTAAATAATGTTTGGTGACAAAAAGCATTAAGAGAGTAGATGGTGTGGGGTTCATTGGTAATGATAGCTAGAGATAGCTACGAGCATTATCTCCTTTACAGTTTTGCATACAATAACTATAGACATCAAATAGAGAATGACAGCATGTAGAACAAAGTAAATATTTAAAATGCAAATTTTTATTAATATTAAAACAAAGGTATACTATTAGGTGTAAGTTAGATAAATATTTTCTCTATTTAATACCATAAAGAAATGTGAATCAGTTTTTATTGACTTAAATAAAAATATTCCAGTGATGAGCACATATAAAATGTTCTGTATCTTTCTCTTACATGAGTGTAAACATTTTCAAGATATTTCAGTTAAGGAAAGATTATCTCTCTAGTTAGATGATGACTTGACAGGAGGCAAAAGCTGTATTTGCTACTTCCTATATGAGCATAGAACTGGGTATTAATTTCTTGAGAAAATTTTCTTACTTTGAAGTAACTATGTCAGCTGGGTGTGCAGGACAAGACAAGCTTTTCCATGAAGGGTCAAGAGTCAAATCAAGTTAGTTGAATTCTAGCAGCTACAGTGGAAGTCTCAGCAGGCTGGCTTCTGGTTTCCTGAAACCTGAGTCTCTAAACAAGATTCTTTAGCCACGACTAGCCAAAGGCTGAAGCCATATTTCCTTTGCATAGATTACATTTATCTCTATATACTAAGAAGGGCATTACAACCTACAGATCAGTTTTTACTGAATGAGCCAAAAATGAGAAATCTTTAAGAAATAAAAAAGGAACAGTACTGTACGTGATATGCTACTCTGATATTTTAGTTAACTGACTAAAAAATTGTGTAATTGAGATACCACTACATACCTATTAGAGTGGCCAACATCCAGAACACTGACCACACCAAATACTGTTGAGGATATGGAGTAACAGGAACCCTCACTCGTTGCTGGTGGGAATATACAATCGCTTTGGAGCACCTTGGCTGTTTCTGGCAAATGAAACATACTCTTGGTATGTGATCCATCAGTCATGCTCCTTAGTATTTATACAAAGGAATTAAAAACTTTTGTCCACACAAAAACCTGCACATGAATGTTTATAACAACTTTATTCGTAATTACTAAACGTGGAAGAAACCAAGAGGTCCTTCAGTAGGTGAATGGATAAATAAACTGTGGTACAATGGAATATTGTGTGACAATGGAATATTATTCAACACTAAAAAGAAATGAGCTATGAAGCCATGAAAAGACATGGAGGAACCTTAAGAGCACATTACTAAGCAAAAGAACCCAATCTGAAAAGGCTATATACTGTACGAGTCCAAATATATGACATTCTGGAAAAGTCAAAACTATGGAGACAGTGAAAAGATCAGTGGTTGTCAGGGGTTGGGAGGGAAGGATAAATAAGCAGAGCACAGAGGATTTTTAGGGCAGTGAAAGTACTCAGTATGATACCATAATGATGGATACATAACATTTTATATTTGTTCAAACCCATAGAATGTACAACACTGGGAGTCAACCCTACAGTAAACTATGGACTTTGAGTGATTATGATATATTAGTGTAGATTCATCAGTTGTACCAAATATACCACTATGGTGAAGGATGTTGATAATGGGGAGGCTGTGCATGTGGGGGGGGGCATGGCATAAACAGGAAATCTCTATACCTTCCTCTCAATTTTGCTGTGAACCTAAAATGGCTCTAAAAAAAAATCTTTTAAAAAACGTTGTCTCATTGAAATCAGGACTTATTTTTTTCTTAATAAGCTCTGTCTTTAAAAAGGTTTTATTTAGAGTTGTTTATCAGAGGGCTATTTATCAAAGAGTTTTTTGTTAAGTATCCAACTTCTCTCTGATTGTGGTTGTTTACAGTTTGTCCTCCCCGGAATCTTCATGGAGGCCAACAAACAGGCTACTTTTCCTTTATTTACTTTTGCACAGCCCAAATCACAAATGACTAAGTCTACGCCTGAGGCTGATAAACACTCAGAAGCAGAAAGGAAAGCCCCTATGTGTCTTTCTAGGGGCTATTGTTCAATCTATTGGGATTAACACTAACAATCATCACTTTGATGCATATTGTTAAATGTTTAGAAAATAATTCACGGCATATTGGCCTGAAGCTATTCCAAATAATCTATGAGAATCTTTACCTTTTAGGCCATGTAAAGTAAAGGGTAAATATATGCTGATTTCCATCTCTCTGAAAAAAAAATAGTTGTACAATATTTTTCTCCTAGGAAGGAGATGATTCTTAAATATGATCAATTTACAAGTTAAGCAGTTGATTTCAAAACATACTTATATTAGTTCTGGGTAGGGTGTACAGAGGGAGGGAATTGAAATTGGGGCAGGGAGATAACAAGTTCTTGTGGTTCCCATGCTGCTTTTATTTCCTTTATCTCACTTCCTCAGTGGGCACAAATTTAGAGAATTTCCTCCTATGTGTGCCAATGTCTACAATCAGGTTCTTTTCACTCACTTTCCTTGCTTTTCAACTTCTCCCTTTTTCCTTTGTTCTATTTTTATTCTATCTAGTAGTTATGTGGCACTTACTCTGTGCCAGCCACTATTCCAGTAACATTTCAAAAATTAACTTATTTAATCCTTTCAACAAAAACTTGTGGGTCAGATACTAATGTTATCTAAGCTGTAGGGAGGCTAAGTAACTTGCTCAAACATGCGTAGCTAGGAAGTCATGGAACGAGTTTTGGAGCACAAACCTTGACTTTGGGGTCCTTGCACTTTAACTATTACACTCTGACCATCCAGTCCAAATCCAATATAGTGGCTGAGTGGCAGAGCTGGGAGTTACGGTTAGGATGGAGAGTTTAAGCAACTCATTTCACTTTTTCTTTTTTCTTTTTTCAAGCTATGATAGGATACTATCAAAATTTGCCTCAACATCTTCATCAAGCCTCAGCCAATTAAAGAATGGATTATTAATAGTGTGTCAGATTTTTCTTCAGTACTTCTGACCACTTCTTATTCTTTTCTTTTTTTAATTTTTTAATTTTATTTAATTTTATTTTTTATACAGCAGGTCCTTATTAGTCATCAATTTTAATACACATCAGTGTATACATGTCAATCCCAATCACCCAATTCATCACACAACCACCCCCCACGCCGCTTTCCCTTATTCTTTTCTAAGATGAAAAAAGTCTCTCTCTGGAGACTTCTGAGAACAACACTTTTAAATTAACCGTCTCCCTAAGTAAAATTTTAAGAAAATTTTAAGAAATTTTCTAATGACATTGTAATTCCTACGTGAAAGCAAAATTATAAAACTTGGAATATGATTATAAGCAAAACATGTTTTTCAGAGTATTTCTTTTGGGGAAAAAACCTATTTATACTTATACAAAGATGTTTAACTCTTGCCAAGGTTTTCCTGTGAAAGTTAGTAAAAATTCATTGGAATTTTTCTGAGCTTTAATTAAAAAAAATAGGTATCAATAAAATATTAGAAAAATAGCGCATTTTAAAAACAGTTGTATTTTACAAGTGGAAATGCTGGGGATTTCAGGACCAAGATATTCACAGGCCTAAATTAGGTACTCTTTATTTAACCTTCTGGAGATTATTACCATATATGATAATAACTTCCCTAGCAACTCTCTCACCTTGGTTCCCTGCCTAACAATAAAGATTATGCTCTTTCCCTCTTATTCAATATGGACATTTATTCACTAAGGACACTAAGGGTTCGCTTCCCCTTTTAAATTACCTACTACCAGTGCCCACTGGGCTCCAATAAACCTGTTGAGGCTGATTTCTTATTTGACTTATCAGAATGGGCCATCCTCCCTATGAAAGCCCAATGAAGTGAACATTCCTAATTGTAATGTTTTCATCTCAGAAACCACTCACCTATAGACAGCTGTAACCAGCAAGATATATTTATGTCTTCTTGCCATCTGTACTTAATCAGTGAGGATCTAATTCTCTATCTTCTAGCTACAATCTTTTCCCTCCTCATTCTCTAACTGACAGCTGTAGTGTTCAGAGCACTTTATTCTAAGTCTAGATTAAAAATGGGAAAGTAGGTAATCCTCAAACAGCTAATTTTATTAGTACTTTTATAGGTGAATAAAAATTCTATATGGAGTTCTTCCTACTTTTTTAGAATCTTGCCTCTGTATCCTTGCTTTCAGTACTAAATTAATCCGTACAATTAATATGTTTTCTGGGATTGTCAGTGCTCAGCATTATCAGTTCTCAGCATCCCTGGGAGCTACAACAAACACAAACAGAATGAAAAATATGAATTTTTTCTCTAAAGCCAAGTTTCATTTGGCATGGGAATTGGGATAAACTGTTAATATTTGAATTGTTATATTTTAAACAAGTATATGATTAGATGCTGAAATAAGTAAATATAACTAATAATGAGAATGATAATAGTTGTTGCAATTTATTGCATATTTACTGTGTGTCATCTGATCATTATGATCATTTTCTTTGTAATATCTCATGTACTTTAACAAAGTTTGTAAGGAAGACATTAGAACCATCCTCTTTTTACAGATATGCAAACTGAGAGTGAATGCATTTGTGTAAGCTATCCAGAATTACAT